ACCGTGTCTAATGGTTAATTAACAATTAAAGAGTAGCGTTGTAGTTAGTTCGTCTGGGATTGCGCAAGCGGCTTGTGGCGTATATAGACGGTGCATTCGATGTCGTTTGGTGGGTTGTAAATCTTGCCTCGAGTGTAGGCAGGCCTCTTTAGGGTTACGTAACTGGTCTGTGCCGCGGCGCGAGCTTTCTGATCCGATCAAACTGTTTGTCTTTTTTTCTTCTCTCTCTCTCTCTTTCTGTCCTATTAATCAAAACAGGTTCCTATATGTTGGATATTTCGTAGAAAACGTTTTCTCAATCACAAAAATACCAATCAAGCTACTAGTACTAACTGGGGAAAAAAATGCTGCTAATTTCATATGCTATCTTAAAATCGTAATTATCTTTAGTATTAGTTCGTAATCAATTATTAGTATGTTCTTAATACACTTACACTATTAAGATAGTGGACTAATATCATTAAGTAAATACGTAACTCGAATTGAAAAGAAAATTCAAGAAATTAAAAAAAAAAGTTAAAGAATTGGAATTTTTTTAATATATTTTATATCTGTTTATTGAGAAATAATACATTTTGCCACACTTAAGAGCACTGAGTACTAAGGCTGAGTGAGGCACATTCATACCATATATACGATACAATTAAAAAAAAAATATATACATATATATAACAAAGGCAAAAACTATAATAAACCAAGGAAATGTAACTTTGAGTTAAAATTAAATAAAATATAGGAATTGTAGCAAAATTAAAATTTAAAGAAATAAATAGAAAAACATTCATACTTATTTACAATATTTACAATCAGGCAAGATATCTCCGATTTCAGCCCTTTCTCCCACCTGTGAAGGACAAAGCGAAACTAAGAGATCCCAGCGCTTCTCTCTCAACCACGTCGCCGGCATTACCAGTCCGGTGGAGACTGAGCGAGAAAGAATTGCATTAAGAATAAGTTTTGATTAAATAAAACATGATAAAATCAAAGGAACGAACCCAAAAAGTTTCTCATTCAATTTACTTTAATGTCAAAACTAGTATTTTTTTTTAATTTTAAATTTTTGATTTTTTTCCCCATTTATATTTTTATATAACTTGTTGGCCCGTGCGAATAATTCACAAAAGAATATTGGTCAGTGAACAAATAACAAATTAATAAGCAATTTCAATTCATTCATTCAAATTGTCATTCACCAACGAAAAGAAAATTATTATAAAACTTGATTCTTGTTTTAAACCGAAATGTTTACGAAATAAAATAGTTTGTATCTCAGCTTATTATGATTCGAATCCGATGATTTTTTTTTTTTCGTAGAAAATTTAGTAATATTTTAAATAATCAATCACACGTACAATCAATAAAAAATGTTTACTTTTTGAGTTATTCACAAATAAAGTTTCTTTTCTTTCATAATTTTTTTATCTTAATTTCGGGGGAAAGGGGATGTGACTATTTTCCCATCTCAAGGAGTTCTTTAAAATGAGGGCTCTCTAACTTGCTTTTATGAAAATTTACGATGGTATTGCATATCAACAAAAATCTATCCTTATTATTTTACCTGAAGGAAAATAGATTTTTAAAATGAAAAATACTCCCATCTTAAAATAACAGTTTCTTCATGAAATTCCGTTTTATTTTTATTATTCGTTTATTTGTAAAAATGAAAGTTCAGTATGTAAAAAAATGGTGAAAAAAAATTGGGATATTAGATTGAATAACTTAACCTCAGGACTCAGGTTACTGATATTTACGAAACTTTGACATTAAAACATGCTCAGGATCGAATCCGACTGGAATTTTTGTTTTTTGTTTTACCGACCGTGATTCAACCCAAATGTTGAAAAAATCTCCTCTGATCTTGTTTCTCCAGTATGTGGAGTTAACTGAATTCAGGCTGTATAACTATTACTTTAACATTTTTTTTTTAGTTTCTTTCAAGGCTTTTAATTCAAAGCTCAAAAATCTAATCAATCATTGTTACTAAATCTCTATAACTTGATAAAAAGTATAGTTAATTAATTATTACTTAAACTAAGATTTAACCTGGAGTTAACTTGGTTTCGTAAAACCCTGGACTACGTTTAGGGCGTGTTGTGATGCTGATCCCGCATAGCGTTGGTGCCCTGCGTCGAGACCTGCAGGGCTTGTCTAGCTCACTTAAAATTTTATTTTTTTAAATATTTCTTTTTTGTTTCTTCTTCTGACAAGTGTTAATTTTAAAACTATTTTTATTAATAATGAAATAAAATAAATAAATATGTAAAATAATAAAAAATGCCTGAATGCATATATATTTTTAAAAATTTATTGTTGCAACTATAAATTTACTAAAAATTGATTAATAAAGAGGTGGAATTAATTAGCTTCAAATATTTAATCTTAATGAACAACTATATTAAACATATGCACACAAAAGTAAAAAATATGTCTATTAAAACTGACATTTCTTTTCTTCTTTTTTTTCTTTGTCTATTTTATAATTGTTTGAATACTTCAATGGTCTCAATTTTTTTTTTTTTTATGCATTTTTGCATTTTAAGGAGTTTCTGATATTTAATTATGTTTAACTTCTAACTACTTTTTTTTTTCTAACTGATCTTTTTTTTTTTTTTTTTTTCTATAAAATACGTATTTGCGCCTGTCAACTTATTGTTGGCAATCAGCAATTATGATGGCGATACATGATATAATGACATGACAGGCATGAGGAAGGAAAGTATTCAGCAGTAACTCTTCCCTAACTTGTTTCTATTACTTGTGGTGGTTGTCTAAGGAAGGAGATCCCTCATCCAACGCCTTTTTAGTCTCCTCCTCATGTTCTGAGGTATGTCAGCTGTGGCCATGTCTCTTAAAAGTCTGTTATTATGTCCATTTAAATTTGTTGTAAGATTGTTGATATAGGATTGTTATATGTTAGTCAACTGTTGGAAAGTGGAGGTTAGTATGTAGAGTTTTGTTAGTCACGTACCAAGGTGCTTTTGTTATGAGTAGCAATACTTTTGATTGGTAGGTTTGAAGTTTTTGTAGGTGGGTCTTTTTAGCGATACCGTATATTTGTGATGAGTATGTCCATATGCGTTTAAGTAAGTACGTTTATGTATTCAGTTTCTGTTTCAGTTTTAGATTTCAGATTTAGAAAAAAGAGAGTAAAGTAGTTTGAGTCGTTTGTTAAGTGTCATACGTTTCATCTGTCTGACCCCATGTCATCCTTCTGTCGAAGGTGAGTCCAAGTTAAAGTACCGTGTCCGTTTGAGGAGTTTTATTGTAGTCAATTTAAACTATAATTAAAACTAAATTTGTTTTCTATATATCTCTTGCCATCTTTGGGTTGGTATAGAAGTTTTAATGTGTCTGAATGAGGAATTCGATACATGTTTTGTTTATGGGTAAAATTTTAAATAAAAATAATTGGCTGAAATTTGTTGGAGGTTTTAAAAGTAAAATGATTTTTTTTTTTTAATTAAACGATCATTGATTTTTTTTTTTAAATCTTATAATCTTGATTGTTTGACATTTAAATATTATAACAGTTTCTTTTGCTAAATGAAACTTTTGAATGAATTACATTTTAAGTTTGGGATTCGTGTTTCATATGATTTATTTCTGTATAGTATTGTTCCTTCGTTTGATCCTTGTGTTATTGATAATTCTTTCTACTCATACGTGTTAAATATTTCCCGTTATGAAACAATCAGGATATGACACGACGCCCACGACAGTACACAATAGCAAAGGTGACAGAGGGACAGTGCAAGGTGGCTGACAGTTGTGATATACGACTGTAAGAGTCAGTTGGACGCCTACGCTGGCTATCCCGTTAATCTTATTTGTAATACAATGGCGGGCTTTTGTGGCTTCAGCTGCCCGATTGATTCCTATCTTGTTTATATTCTATTCTTGAGGACTGCATTTCCTTAGGAAAACTTATTTATTTTTAGTATTTATATGTATTTAGCTCTTCGTCTGACGGATATATATATGCCTGGTTCTGCCATAAATACTGTTACAAAAGTTGAACTTTGTTTACATCCGTAGGTATTATTTAGATAATCTTCAAACTAGCCATGAAGTCATTTCAAGAGTTTAAAGAGGTCGTCGCACTTCCTCAGTGATGGTTTGGTTGGAAGTTTGCTTTGATGGCACCACAAAGCTCCATTTTTGTGAAGAAGGAGTTTGATTTTGGAACCTGTTATGAAGCTTCTAAATGATACTCTGTTTGGTAAAAGTCATTGGGTTGTCCAGCAGGATTCCGCTCCAGCTCAGAAGGCCGATTCAACTCAACAGTGGCTGCAAAAGAACATTGCTGAGTTCATCTCTGCCTCATATATAACCTCGTTATTTTGAAAATTTGAGGGTGTAGGCCATGCTAAACGGCTCAATATTTTTGAAAACCACTTTTATTATCGATTTCGTGATGAAATTATCTTACGATCCAAGTAGAAAGCAAAAGGGTATTGACGAGTTTTAGTACCTAATTAAATAGACAAAGTTTGCCTCCCTCCAGATTGAAAACGCACTAATTCTAAGAGTTACCGTAAATAAGATATTTGTAGATTACGATTAGATAAAACTATTTACGAAGTTTCAGGCGGATTTTAATAATTTGATAAAAATAGGTCTGTACCACGGACTAATAGTTATTTCATATTTTTCTGCTGAAAATCGGACAATTGTTTATATGAACTATATTGTGGATCTGATTGTCTAATATCAAACTTTAAAATATTTTCCTCTACTTAGGATATACTCTATATGTATCTAAATATACATTTAAACATACTTATATTAGCATGTTCTTATCGCAAATATATTAGGCAGGGAGAGGAAGTGTGAGTGTGAGGCGTAAATATTTTCACGAAGGTGGTTGGGTTATTGGGATCAGATAGCCGGATAAGAATCGCGTTATGAGTTGTTAATCGTTAAATGTTGTCACGCTAACCACAAGGCGTCCCCTGACTCACGGCTGGAGCGAACTGTTTTAATGCGATTAGTCACGTGGATTAGTAAGCTCCGGTATCTGTGTTAGCATCGGCCATGTCCGGGTCTATCGAGTCATCGTGGGATTGCTGGTTTGTTTTCGTGTTACCCTGCTCAATTTGGATGAAAATCGAATGATCACGGTCCTATAATTAGAAAATTACGACGTTTGCTTTGAATTATCACTTCAAATTTATTTAGAAAATGGTGGATTTAGCGCCCACACTTAGTTTCCACTGTGTTTCAATTTGATTAGGTGCATTTAGGTTATAGCTTCTGGTCTGGAAGTGGATATTATTGCAGCATACGATGATTTTTTTGTGTATTCTTCTATAATTAATATTATTATCATTCCTTTATTTTTCTGTATTGATTTTAATGATGGAAATTTGTTAAAATCATGATTTTTTTTTTTCATTTAGTTTATAATTAAGGTCCCACACCTAAGGTTTTTGTTATTTTGAATTTCATATTTTTCTTTTTTAGTAGCCAAATTATTCAGCGTTTTTCTCTTAGAATTTTCGATATCATTTTTTCCAATTCTTCAAAACATTATTTGTTTGGTCCTCCGGGCCGGATTTGAACGAGGTGCTTTCGTTCTAATCAATTTTATATCAGAAATTTTATTTATTTTAGTTTTACTTTGGGGTAGTTTTTTTTGTTACTATGCTGCACTGTAATGTTTTGAGTATTGACAATATCTTTGATATTTTTTTCACATCTTTGTATATTTCTTTCCACATTTTTCCTTCTACCGAGTAGTGAGCTTAATGTGATGAATGAAAAGAACATCTATTACAAACAGTTACAAAAGCTAACAAAAAAGAGATAAAATTTGAAGAATTCTACTGGATTAAAGAACGAATTCTTCCTGTCACGCGAAATTAGTATATATTTTTTGCATACATGTGGCTGTTTAAATATTATTTGGTCTTCCTGGGCGGATATCAACCAGCCTTTTAAGTAGTTACCGTTTGATTCTATCGGACATTTCGTTCCAATCACTTTCACTGAAATGTGATTTATTTCATGCTGGATTTATTATTTATATAAATCGAAGATTGATATAAGATAAACTTCATTTTTTTATTGTGTGATTATAGGTTGGATTTATAAAAAAAAAACAAAAAAAAAACAATGTAATTCATAAAAAGTTGATATTACAAAAAAAAAAATTGTTTTTGTCAATAAATATTTACCGAAATTCATTTATTGTTCATTTTTTTGTTTTATGTAAATTTGTTGAATCAATCTTGTTTTGATCAAATTATTTTATATTTTGGTTTATTATTTTTAATAATGAACTTAATCGAATGTACCGATTTCACAATGAAACTTGACTAAAGTATTCATCTCGATGCCCTTTAAATTTATATATATATATAACATATTCCAATGAAAAGAAGCTAAAAATAAATTAACGAGGGATAGTAAGAGTAGATTTTCGAATAATTCAAAAAGTATACACCTTTTTTTTAATATTGTATATGTCATATGGTTATTTAAAAGTTTTCGAAATTTCCCCCCCAAAAAATTGTTAAAATTGGAGCAAATATATGGCCTCAAGATATTTTTATATGTTCTATTGCAAAGGTTATCTCCTTTGTTTTGTTTTTTGATTTTAGTAATTCTTAATAGTAATGAGTAATTCCTTTTTTTTTTTTTTTTTTAGAAGAATACTAATAATGAATAAAAAATATTTAGCCAATAATAGGAATCGCTTTATATATTTTTTTTCTTTGTTACTCGAAAGGTAATGTTACTTTAAATTTGTTATTGTTTGAAAATAATAAACCATTGCGAAATAATTTTCAGATTTTTTTCGTGTGTAAAATTATAAATAGAAATAATATACTGTTTTTTTTTTTTAATTACAAAGATTTATGTACAAGTTATAAAGTTATAATGCTTTAATCAAAAGTTGAGACTGTTAAAATAAACTTCACGTGATATTAATCATAATCCTTATTTGTGTAATATCTTGCGATGGTAATATCTTTTTTTATATAAAGGAAGGATATAATAAGACCCTATAAACAGAAGAGGAGAGGAAAGGGAATAGAGAGAAGTTATAGAGGGGATAAAGAAGGAGTATAAACAGACAACAAAGATAAACCTACGTCAATAGAACTATGGGCGGGGTCAGCATTTTTAGGTCGGATCAATCTTAAGTGCGGCGCAGGTCTTAGCAGAGTGGAGAAGTCCCCGCTGTGCTTATCGTGGGCAGGTGGATAGTCTGTCAAAGCATCCAGTCCTCCTTCCTCTCTCTGCTTATCTAAGTCCTTTCTCTTCCTCTCTCGCTTAACTGTTCTTCCTTCTTCACTCATTACTTTAAATATTGGCAAAATTTGATTTTTAATTAATTTTAGGTTGGTTTATTGTTTCCGCAAAATATCTAGGTCATCAGAACCTGATTAATGAAATAATACTCATATTAATATTAAAATGTAATGTTGTTAAGATAATAATATAAAAAATAAATAAATAAAAAATATATTGAAGGACCTCATACCAGACTGAAACGACAAGAAATCGACGTTTCCGATTACTTCAGCAATTACTAGACGAACGCTCTAATTTTCCAATTAATTACAATATCATATACATGACTGTAATAAGGCCTATTTGGACTTACGGAGTTGAGCTATGGGGCTCCACTAAACCGTCTTGTATCCAATCCTTACAATCCAAAATCCTTAGTAAATTTCTCAATGTTCCCTACTTTGTTACAAATACAACTATCCATAATGACCTGAATGTTTCTTATGTTTCAAATCTGGCCCAATCCAGATACCTATCTTTCCATAATAAACTTCATAACCAACCCAACCCTCTCGTTTCTAACACTGCTTCCTCTGCAATTCCTGATAACCTTCCGAGGTGTCTCAAATAAACTTGGCTCCGTGATCTCTTAATGTGGACATATAATTGGAGTGCTACCATTGGGTAGTTACTCAGCAAGTGTTTTCACGTCATTATATCCATATTTTCAAATTTACTAGATGTATTTCTGTAATACAGTTGTAAATATCGTTAAGAAATAATAATAATAATAAAAAAAGAAGATATTGAAGGAGTATTATAATATTATGTCACAAGGACAATAATTCTAGTGAGATAAGACTAAATTCAAACTATATTTACAGGAAATATAAAATGAACAGAAGCAAAATAAAATAAATTAAAAAAAAAAAAACATTTATACTAATCCGTGATACAGATCCCTTTTTATAAAATTATCAACATCCTCCTGAAACTTTGTAAATAGCTTCATCTCATCATAACCTAGATTCATATTTTATCAATGAAAATTCTCACAATTGGGGTGTTTTCAATCTGAAGGTCGGCAAAGTTTGTCTATTCAGTAAAGTACTAAAACCTCGTAAATTATCCATTTGATTTTCTCTTGGATCGTAAGATAATTTGATCACAAAATCGATTAAAAGGTGGCCTACAAAAATATTGGCCTTTATAATCTCGTTATTTTGTGTTGTGTGTCATGTCGAATGGCTCGATATTTTTGAAGGCCACATTTTTTTTTTTAGTTTGCCCAAATTATCTTACAACTCGAATGGAAAGCAAATTGATATTTATGAGGTCTTAGTACCTAATTAAATAGACAAAGTTTGCATGTATCGAGATTGAAAATTTTCCAATTCCGATAATTTTCGTAAATAAAATATTTTAGGTTACGATGAGATGAAGCTATTTACAAAGTTTCAGGCGGGTGTTAATAATTTGATAAAAAGGGATTTGTATTACGGACTATACCTATATAACACTATTTACAGCTGAGGAAATCACAATTAAGACTTCTTCCTAATACTAAAGAGGAAAAAGTAGGGATATGAAATTAATTTAAAAATAAACTATATATATATTGAAATAAAAATGGAATAATTAGTAGAAAAAAATTACCAAAACTAATTAAAATTATAAAATATGTATATAAGTTAACAAAACTGTATATGTAAGCAAAAAATAAATAAATGAAATACTACAGAATCAAATAAAAAAAAATTATTATTGTATCTATTTTATTAATTGCACGCTAATAATTAATAATGTTATTTTATGGGATTTATTATTGTTCCTTAATTATATTAATACGTTTTGCTTTATCCCCGTAGTGTTAAATTCACGAGTTTAATGTCCACAAAGTTATTTTTTTTTGTAATATGTATCATTTTAATATTAACAATAAATTAAACAATGTAATGAAATTAATATACTGTTAGGTTTAGCGCTCATTACACTTTTTTGTAATTCTTTTGTTATTTAATTCTTACAACTTTACACGCCCATTTTGGTGGCCACAACGCTATTAATTATGTTTACCCGGTGTCGGTCACGCGATCCGGCGCAAAGCCTTCTGGATCTAAAAAAAAAATAAACAGGTGTTGTTGATTGAAACGTGCAATAGTTTAAGCCTTAGGTGGAGAACCGAAGCCGCGTGTGGCCTCTGTGACGTAAATGATTAATTAATATTTAATTATTCAAGTAACTACAATTAGAAAATTGATATAATTAAGTTAAATGTATGTATGTGGTTCATCAGAAGGTTTCCCACCCATGGAATAAACCTACCTAGAAAACTAAATTATTAAAAATAAAGTCTATTGAGAGATGTTTTTCACGTTTGGTCGTCAAAGATTCATATATTAATAGTGAGCTTTTTCTACTATCGTAAAAACTATACTAGGTTTTAGTAGGAACTTCCACTGTCAGATGTTTCTATGAGACAAAATCACTCCTAACTTTTTATTTATTTATTTATTTTTTTACTTTCCTACCTATACTATGTAAGGAAAGTATTGCAATCAGGTCAAATTTCTGACATGCGGTTTTCGACGGAGCTATACGTTTCAGAGCCCCCTCAGTCCGAAAAACACATTTTTAGCCATTGTTGCTTCTTTTTTTTATTTTGTAGGGTTTTGACAACTGATGCCTGTGACAGAAATTCGGTGCTCTATGCGCAATAGCTTGCGCTCAATAAATGAAAAACATGTTTTTCTATAGACTGTAGCGCAAAAAGGGCTTTTTTTGATGAAACTTGTCTATAATGTTCTAATCATTGTTCATTCAATTTTCGTTTATAAACTAACTCCCTAGGGGCCTAACTCCCTAAGTATAATACGCCGTTTAGCCTGTCGTTTGAAAGGTAATGAAAGTCCTTACAAAGCCATATAAAAATCGTTCATTTTGGACAGATATTAACGAAGTTATAGCTATTCAATTTCCAATGTAAAATTGCGGTTTCATATCCTGGTGTCAGAAATTGGTGAATGAGAGAATAAAGATGACTAAGTGAAAGTAAGAAAATCTGTTGCCCGCATCGCACAATCTTCACTATTTCCTCTACTTTTAACAGAAATTATTGTTTGACAATACTAAGCTATGGCAAAAAGTTTTTGTTCAGCAATGTTAGGAAGTATTGAAATTTTTACACTGATCTACCTTAAGTCGGTATACATTGCTTTAGTTTATCAAATAAATCATTCTCAAATCTTATGTTTGATCAATTTTCAGGAAAATGTATCTAGTTCAATTCTTTTTTGTTTCTTCATGAACATATGTAAAGATATAAAAACTTGTCTGAAATAGGCAGGAAAGTCGTGTGAGTGGACACATTAGATATTTTTTATTAAATTAGGATTCTTCATTTCTTCATGAAATTTCTTTTCGTTTGATACCTCAGTCATTAAAATCGATTGCTCTTCCAAGACTGCAAAAGGAATCCATATTACCGTACGATATATACAGTGTAGATTATATTTTTATATATTCCGTCCCTTGTAAACTGCCGAGAACAACAATGGCTTGTAGAAGCAATACAAATACGGCACCAACACAGACATACTACGGTCGGAACCGTGTGGGAAAGAGAAAGCAGGCCGACAATTGTGAGATGTCGGAACATAAATAAACTCGGCGCGCACATACTCACGACTCCGAACGCTTCTAATTCCTAACTCGGTTCGCTAATGGCCTCTTCATTCACCAATAAGGGCGCTTCTATCTTCCCATTGGATCGTTCCAACGGCCAATTAAAAACGCTAACTCAATACCAAGATCTCTTAGGAGTCACAATCGTTGCGGTAAAAAACGATTGTCTTGAGACTGGCTTGAAAGTAATTTGGAGGAAAAAAAAAAAAAAAAAAATATATATATATATATATTTATTTATTTGTTTTATTTAATGTATTTTTTGTTTCTACTTTAGGCGCGTTTTACACTTTTTTTTTTGGAGAGTGAATTAGATTGACCCATCAGATTTCTGATGTGTAGCGCTCGGTTAGAGTCTGGAGTTTATCCTACAAAGAATGAAATTTTTTTTATTTTTTTATTTAGCCTCTACCCCTAAGGATAATTGGCTTAATGTTACCATTTTATATTCGTTGATAAAAGTGAATATTTTTTAAATATTTGAACAGTTTTTCTATTTCATTCTCCCCATCTTGCAGAATTTCTTTCATTTCCGTTCCCATTTAAAATTTGTTTCTTATATTAGTGTACCTTCTACATTCTAATAATATATGTTTTACTGTTCTCGGTACTAGGCAATGTGTGCAAGTTGGAGCTTCTAATCCTCGCAGGAGGTATCCATGGGAAAACTCGCTGTGCCCAATTCTTAGGCGACATCGTATCACTTCTTCTCGTCTAGACTTTCTGTTTGATGTGTTCCATTTGATACATTTTGTTTCCTGAAGTTTTGCCGAACTCAATGTTCCATTTAATTTGAAAGGAGAAGGCAAGTTGGCGTGTCCAATCTTCTCGAGGATTAGCATCAATTATTGTATAGCATGAAATTATATTGAATAATTATATACCGTGAAAATTTAATATTAATAATTTTATGTTAATTATTTATAGTTTCTCATTTTCACTACTTAATTTTTATTATTATACGTATATCAATATTATCGTATAAATGAACAACAGGACGGAATAACTAATTAGTGCCTAAACTATTGCACGTCTTACCACAGTGAACAACAGTTTTTTTTTTTCTTTTTTTTATATCCAGAAGGCTTGTGCTGAATCGCGTGACCGACACCCGGTCAACATAATTAATTGCGTTGTGGTCACCGAAATGGGCGTGTAAAGTTGTTGGAATTGATAACGGACGAATTACTAAAAACTGAATTAAGCGTTAAATCCAAGTTTAAAAAAAAAGATACAAACATTATTTATTTATATTTTACGCAATTAGCACCTGCGCGGCTGCGTATCTAGCAAATTTGTTGTGTTTGTATTGTCTTTGTGTATTTGCTTGATAATGTTTTTATTGGTATAGTAGATCTCTTGGCCATTTTCTTTTTAGTGT